ACAGCTCTCAAGATGTTCATTCGGTACCCAGACCCGGGGAACGGAGTAAGAAATATAGAACCTTTCAGGAAACGGCTTACTTCGCTGTATTGCTTGCTTCGTGGATCAGCTATGATGTCCAGCCATCAAGCAAGAAAAGTGTAAGACAGAAAGTCTAACTGAGTAGATTGGTTGTTGGGGTATATTTTAGTATAGTTGTACAATGCGGACATGCTAGATATGTGTTATTCAAACCTCCACAGAAATCGGAGGTGCAGGGACACATACCTTAGCTTGTAGCAAAAAAGCAACAAGTCGTTGGCGCTAACCTACTTCCTGTCAATTTACTACGGTCCCGGCGTCACTGTTGCAATGTATGTTCATATAGAACTATATCACAATGGCTTGCTTCACATAGAAGGCATTCACATTGAGTTGTTTCACACAGAGAGAGAAAGAGTTCACATTGAGCTACTTCACATAGAGACTTCACATCGAGCTGCTTCTCCGAGAGAGGCTTCGCAACGAGTGTTTGATAATAATTGAAACCAACTTTCTACGTTCCTGAAATGCATGATCAATGGAAAGGTGGTTGGTATCTTCTGGCACGGTCAATAATCGTCTCTCGTATTGCTCGGTCATGTTTATTGAAAGGCACCTTCGGTACTGAGATGTCATTTGATGCGATTATGTTCCAAGCTTTCTCCATATTCTCGGTAGTCCAAAATTTTCTTGGACGGCCTACTCTCCGTTGATCTGTTTCTCTTGGCACAGCAGACTGAGTTTTAAAAGCGGCTTGATGCAACGGATGTTGGCGATCCCGACGTAGCACATGTCCTAAAAGTTTTAACCTCCGTTCTCCGAGAACTTCTGTGAGGGGCTTGATCTTTCTGTGTATACCTGCGATTGGGGCATTCGTGACTTCATTAGCTCTTTTATAGACGTAGTCGTTCGTGTTGTTGCGATTAATATACGTAGTGTGCAATTGCAGGATTTTTCGCAAACCTTTCAACTGAAAAGTATTGAGCAGTTTTCCCGCTGATTCTGTGGGTTCCAATGTCTCCAACCCATAAAGAAGTTTGCTTGTAATAACTGCGTTGTAGACCAACAATTTCCACTTCTGGCTGCAATTCGTCTTGAGCCAAAAGATGTCCAGCTTTTTCAAGGTGATCATTGTTGCAGAGATTCGTCTTCGGATTTCCTGTCTGGGATCAACTCGTTTCGAGACCGACGCTCCTAAATAAGTCGTCTCTTGCACATGCTTCATTTTTTCCCCACTCTTGAAGCGTATGTTGCCTCGTGCATTATATGCAAGAAAACAACATTTCGATTGATTCAATTTCAAATGCAAGTAATCGGATTCTTCTTCAATTAAATGTAAGTAGTCATTGGCAGTCTTTTGGTTTTTTGCAACGATTAATGTATCATCCGCATACAACAACTCTTGAAAGTTTATGCCCTGGAAAGTTTTTCTGCGATTTGTGTCATTAAAGCTGTCTTTTACATCAGAGAACATGACATGCATCGTTAGAATGAACAGAAAAGGGCTAAGGGGACAGCCTTGTCTGATTCCTGTTCGTTGTATGAAACGACTACTTGTGTGTGAATTATGATTGACCTGGAACATTGGCATGCGGTAGAGAGCTTTGATAGCGCCTAACATGTCTTCGGGAATGTTCAATCTAGCCAGCGAAAGAAACATCTTTTCATGATCAATCTTATCAAAGGCCTTTTCCCAGTCTAAAAATATCAGGAACAAACGTTCATGTCCCTGTTCAACGACGTCGGTGAGGCGCCGCACGCAAAAAAGAGCTTCAGCTGTTGACCTGCCCTTCCGGAAGCCAAACTGTGTGCTTCCAATGTGTGCATCAATGGCTTTTGCTATCCTAGCTTTGAGAATGTGTGCGAAGATTTTGTATGTTGTATTTAATAATGATATTGGCCTATAATTCTCTGGATTTTCATGATTTCCTTTCTTGTACAAAAACACTATCTGAGCAAAGGCAAAATCATCAGGTACATGTTTTTTGTTCCATAAAATATTCAGGCATCTCGTGAGTTGTTGGATGTTTTCCAAGTCGAGGTATTGGAAAAGTTCGTTGATCACTCCGTCTGGACCTGGGGCTTTGTTTGTTCTCAGCTTGCGAATCGCCTCCTGAACTTCGGTATATGAGAACTCGGAGGTGGGAATGTTTAAATCTTTGTCAATGATTTTTCTTCTGTGGGGATCGACATGGCTGGGATTGTGCTTGGGTGCCCATTGTCTTTCGTAAAGATACTCAGCCAAGGCATGTGCTTTTTCGTTCATGGGCACCCTCTTGCCGTGTATGTCTTTCATGCTATAGAAATTTGGGATAAAAGGCTTCTTCTCGTATCTAATATTACGCCAAGCTTCTTTCACGTCAGACAAGTCTTGCAGTCGCTCCACCTTCCACATTTGCTTATCTTTACGCGCTTGTTTTGTAATTTCTCTGTTCAGTGCTTTCTCCTCCTCCATCCTGCCATTATTTCTAGCTGTTTGTCTATCCTTTATTAACTGCCATGTCTTATCGCTAAGATAAGGCTTCGCAATGACTTTATGACGTCTTAGAAAGGATTGGTTTGCAGCGGTCTTCATTGCCATAGCAAAACGTTTACAGTTGGATAAGCCCTCGTCCTGTCCATGCTCCAAGGAAAACATGTTGCGTATCCGTTCGTTGTATGTCACTTGTTGTCCTGAAGTCGGAGGAAAGTATCGTATTACAGGATCTTTTTTCCGTGGGGTTTGGGCCTTCAATTTGAGCCTTACTGCTGCTGTAACGATAGCGTGGTCGCTGTTGATCGCAATGTCAGGTCTTGATTCCACGTCCGTGATACTGTTTCGAAAAGTGTTGGGTGCTAAAACAAAATCTATCTGTGCGAACCTGTCTGGAGTCCATGGGCTCTTGAAACCATCCGTCGTAACATCCTTGTACGTACATTTCTTGTGATCTGGTTTGGGGAAAAACGTGTTCATGATTGCATATTCATTTGTAATGCAAAAATCGATTAGGAATTGACGGTTGTCTCGCTGCTCTTCTGGGAGGTCCGGTACATGTTGTGAGCCGTATCCAAAAGTGTATCTGCCCATAACTTGATCTTCGACTTGGCTTATGCTGCCGTGTAACCTGGCGTTTGTGTCACCCAAAATAAATGTCGGCAGATGTTTCCCGCGGGCATGCACAATATCCTGCAGCATGTCCCAGTGTTGCATTTTTTCCTCCAGTAATCTGCCGCTGTGTGGCGCATAATGGTTTACAAGACAAATATCTGGGCCATGGTTGGCCAATAAAACTTCTATGAACCTGCTGCTGTGTGGGATGCAATCTTTAACATGATCAATGAGTTTAGGGCCTATGACAAAACCCACTCCATGATGTTCAATACTTTTATTTGCGGCTTTTGCTTTTGCTTTTGATTTTGCGTTTGCAATCCTACCAGGTCGGTTTACCTGCACAGGGCTCGGATGCTGATCTTGAGCGTTTGAACTAAAAACAAACTTGAACTTATCACCAGTTTTGTCTTGAATTTTTGTTTCTTCCGAACTGGTACTGATTTTCGTTTCTTGTATGGCCATGATGTCGATGCGGTGTTCCCGCATAATCTGTATGATTTGTTCGCGCTTTCCTGCTTCAACAAGCCCTCTGCAATTTAAAGATGCAACGGTGATTTTTTCAGCATAACTTAGCTTCGTTGCTGTCGTTCTGTTAGGTGATTGAGAATTCCCGCTGAGACCCTGACTATTCTGACTATTGTGTTTAGAATGACTTTCTGACAGACTGTGGTTTGACGAACTTGATTTGATTCTTCGCTTGATTCTCCTTCTGGTGTCCCTTTCAGCTTTTCGCTGGATTGTAATTTTTCTTTGTATCTTCCATGTTTGTATGAGACAACCATGTTGTTTTTTACCATGTCTAAGCAACTTCTTGGCGTTGCGTTGATCGCTATGCTTCTCACGTGAAAATGATAGCTGTGATGACGCCTGCGTCTCGTCTTTATGGTTTGCTCTCAGTAGGTTGGCTTCTTGGATTGCATCACCAAGTGGAGAGGCTGCAGTCAACTTCCTCACCACTTCGCTGCTTGATGCTTTTATTGCGCGCCAGTTTCGGCGGTTCTCAGCCCTGATTTCGTTCCAGTGTTTATAACGGCTAAATCTAACGAAAATGTTCCTATTTCCTCTTCTCGTTTTATGTTTGTAGGGGCTAAAATTTGATTGTAAAGCAGCTCGGTGTGGGCCGTCATTCTGATGACGCTGCTGGCTCGGATCCTGGCTATTGTTTAGGGTGGGGTAACTAGTCATAATACAAAACTGTTCATTTTCCAACGACTCCGATCGCGCTGTCAACCCGGCTCGCCTCATGAAGGCGGGAGCTTTGTAAAAACTGTTGTACTTACGACAGGGTAGGCCTATGCTTTCATGGATTACGTGATGTTTAGAGGGGACAGAGGTAATTATTGGGTGTGGTAGTGTGTATACCCTCTTATAACTGCCATATGAAGACTGAGAGCTTCGGACTTCGTCCGAAGCGTATTCACACTGAGATTCACACTGAGGGCTTCCATATGAAGCCGTGTATCTGGGGACTGCGTCCATTGTATGTTCACACTGAGATTCACACTGAGACCTACCATATGAAATCCTCGAGGCATGTGCCTTGTCCATGACATGTTCACACTGAGATTCACATTGAGAGCTGCCCCTTTGGAGCGCGTTACCCCTCGGATGTATCCATCAATGCCTGTGCTTTCTCTTCATCCTTGAGCGCCTGCTGTACATGCACATTATTTTTCCAATCATGTACAAGAACGAATTTGCACCAGTACGGATTTCTTGCATCGAATGCAAAGTCCATAGCTGCATAAAGTCCCTTGCTACTGCCCTTTCTGCCCTCACCATGCTCTCTGCTCTTTCCCTTACCTTTCCCTCTCCCTGTACTCGCTGATATCCTCTCGACGGTGGCTTCGAAATGAGCCTGCACATCATCAAAGATGGACTCGTCAGCGAAAACAGAACATGTCGCGTTCGCGTATGAGAAATGGAGCCAGATGAGGTAGTCGTGAGAGTACTTGATGCGAACCGCATTCTCGTTCCATACTGGGTAAAACTCCACATCGTGACCATTTATGCATTCCATGGCTGCTTTCAGGAATCGTCCTCTCAATCGCGCATCTTCGCTGAGTGTCTTTCGAATGCGAACTTCATGATTGGATTCTCGTCCTGTTGCCATAGACCACCACCAAAGCTTCAAACGCTTGTGAATGTAGTTGTCGAGGAACCATTGAAAGACTTGATTCCTGTGCCAACCCGAGGAAAACTTAATCACGATGATGTTGCTGAGCTCGCCCCTAGTGTTCATCAAACTTTTGATGGAGTCGCGGTCTTTTAACACATAGTTGACAAGTATTCACAGAAATTGCTGTAAAGCTTACCTACAGAACGCAAGGCTATGTGCAAGCCTAGACACTAGAGCCTCCTTTGTAGAACCCGAAAAAGCCTTATGGAGCCCTCATGAATAAGCCCTGTAAACCAAGCCCTTTGCTACTTTAGTCTGCCCTCCATACTCTACATTGCCTTCAAAAGACGCCTTCTGGGTTGCAGGTACCCCTCCTTACACCTTGAGCATTCCCAGTTCCGACCCGCCCATCTCTTATCAAATCCCATGAGATAACAGACTAATAAGGACACCCTCTTCAAAAAACGGCCGTGCCATCTTACACCTGTGGTCCGATGGTCTAGTTTGAACGTCACACCATAAAAAGATGTTCAAGGGGTCTGAGCCTAAAACCCTAAACCCTAAACCCTAGAAACCCTAAACCCTAAAGCGCAAACCCTAAACCGCTGAGTCTTGTTTTTTTTCTGGCAAGCTGCACGGGCAGGATGATTGACACCTCCGGCCCCTTGCAGTCGCCATCCGTCATGGCGCAGAGGGCTCTCCAGAATTCAGGGATATATCGCAACTAAAGTCATAACTTTCATGCCCCAAACCCTAAACCCTGATACCATTAAGCCCCTCATGTACCTCCACTAAAGTCATAACTTTAATGCCCTAAACCCTAAACCCTCATGAGATTAAGCCCTTCATATACCTCCACTAAAGTCATAACCTTAATGCCCTAAACCCAAAACCCTGATACCGTAATATTAAGCCCCTCATGGTTTCAAGTCTGGGTTTTACACACACATGTCTAATGCTTTGAGCGGGGCGGGGAGTAGGCGGCATGTGTCGCCGGGTGGAAGACATGGGGTGCTGTAGACCTCGCACTCTGATTCCCCTTGCTTCAGGGCCAGGGTTTAGATTCAGTTTAGATCCTTACTATTATCCCTCTTTGTTCAATGGCCATACTAGTAGGATTGCGGTTGAAGAGCAACTATGAGGTAGGTGTGTGGAGGGTTTGGCACCGTTTACAGACTCAGCGCATGCTGCTCCGGTTCACAGCGATTTCGAAGGCTGGGTTGAGGGGCCTGGAAACAGCTCAAGATAGGAGGTAATTCTAATCGTTAAGTTGGAGGTTTATGAGCTGTTACATGCTTTCATAGGACTCAATGTCGGGAGTGGGGCAATAAATCAACATATGTAGGGACGATCAAGGATTAATTGTTCAGACCCCGTTCTCAAGACGATGGTTACGGGTGTAAGCGCGCTTTCGGCATCGAAAGTTCTCTACAGGATTCGGGTTTGCTAAAGAGGGAACTTCAAGGAAGCATACGGTTAATGAGAGCCGACGGTGGTATGTTCATGACTTCATTCAAAACCTACTTGCAGCAAAAACTGCTGGCTTAAGATAGAGCAGCTTGAGCCAAAGGGCATACAAGCAAAGATTTGTGGGGCTTTTCAGAAAGGGACCCTAAACTTTGGGAATTATGGTATATTCCTTATTGTGAGTATTGCAGGGTTTATGCCATCAACCGTAATTCTAAGGATAAGGGGTTTTGGAGTCTGCAGGTGGGCCAGCACAGCCCACATGCAACTGCCTGCACTTTTCAGGGCACTGTGCTGCATGTCGCATCGACATGTCGCACTCAGAATGATGCGCAGCTCGAGTCCCATGCCCAGGCTAGCATACCCAGTGACTCTAACACCCCTTAATTCAGGAATGTACCTTCAATTGTAAGGTGATCCTTAGTATGCTTTTTTGTCTATTCGTTAATCCAGGGGCTTGGGGGTCTCTATCATAGCCTTGTGGGGCTGTACAATGAAAGTTCAAGCTGTATAAAGTTCGTAAGACCCTGTATTCCAAAGCATCCAAAGCTTGCCATCCTACATATGGCCGTCCGTCACATAATCTCCTTGCCCGAGTCCAGAGAATAAGTTTTCGGGGTGAATTTCACCAAATTCATACTGGTGTTGCAGCGCAATGTTGCTGATCAACCAAGGCACAAGCACTTTCAGAGCGCTCTTAACGGGGCACACCAGCCTAAAAAAGTGAAACCGGGCTTCGGGGTACATTTGACGATGATGGTAACAAGGAACCCTGAGGAATAAAAGCTTCTAAGTATTCAGGCTTCCGTATATATATATATATAGACACACACACCCCCCCAAACCCTCAACCCTAATCGCCTTTACCCCTAAACCCTCGTACCTAAACCCCAGACCCTCAACCCTAAACCCTGATCCCTAAACTCTCAACCCCAAAGCCTAATCCCTAAACCCCACCAAACCCTCAATCCTAAACCCTGCTCCCTAAACCCTAAACCATAGACCCTAATTCCTAAACCCTAATCCCCAAACCCTCAATCCTCATCCCTAATCCCAGAACCTTAAATCCTAATCCCTAAACCTTAAATCCTAAACCCTAAAATCCCAAATCCTAATCCCTAAACCCCTAAATCCTAAACCCTAATCCCTTAAACCTTCAATCCTAAACCCTAATCCTTAAACCCTACATCTTATATTATAAACCCTAAACCCCTAAAACTCCCTCTTTCCTTAAGGCGGCTGGGAGAGCGCAGGGCTGAGGTCCGCACCGCCTGAGGGGTCGACCTCGTGGAGTCTTCGTGTTGATCAGCGGTTTAGGGGAGTTTAGGGTTTAGGGGGTTTAGGGTTTAGGGGATTTAGGGATTTAGGGATTCAGGGTTTTGGGTTTGGGGATTTAGGGTTTGGGGATTTAGGGTTTAGGGTTTAGGGTTTGGGGATTTAGGGTTTAAGGGATTTAGGGATTTAGGGTTTTGGGTTTGGGGATTTAGGGTTTAGGGTTTAAGGGTTTAAGGTTTGGGGGTTTAGGGTTTAGGGGTTTGGGGATTTAGGGTTTAGGGTTTGGGGGTTTAGCCCTATAGCGAGCACAGAAACCTGAAGGCTTAAAGCCTCTGTCGATCTGCGAAGGTTCCCGGGCCCCTTATACCGCCCCTACAGGTAGGTTTAGGGTTTAGGGGTTTAGGGGTTTAGGGTTAGCCTCTTACAAACTGGTATGATCATGGGTTTTAGGTTTTAGGGTTTAGGGTTCTCTTCCCCCCTATTACACTAAAGGTGTCCTCCCCCCTGGAAATATTGAAACCCTGTGCATCTTGAAGTGTTTTTTTACTATCTGGGGGTCAGTTTTTTAGTTTTTAGCATCCCCCCATTGCTCGGTGCTTTGTTCCAAACTCGGGCGAATCGCAGACCCTGCAGTGCTACGTTCCTGCGGTTGCTCTGCAGCTCCCGGGCAATGCCTGCTATGGGATGCTCCCGGAAGCGGTGAAAACTCTGAGAGGGACATGAATTCAACTCACGCATTCTGGCGCAGACTCGCTCTTGAATTCGTATGCTTTCAAGTGACGGGATACTCTCAAAATGTGTTTTCTCTCCAAAAAGAGAGAGAGAGAGAGAGAGAGAGATCGCTTCGAGATTCTACCCCAGAAGGATCCTTAGGGTCCTTGTAAGACCCTTAATTGTATTGTCCTCTTGGCTCTTTAAAACTCCTCTTCGGATCCATTCCGACCCAATTGCCCTGACGGAATTAGGTTTTTTTTTATTAGGCTGAGGTTTACTAATGCAGGAGGGGATTAATCAAGTATCCTTGTGGCTGCAATACCCTAAACCCTTAACCCATAAACCCTAAACCCCTTAACCCCTAAACCCTAAACCCCTAAACCCCTGAACCCCCAAACCCCTAAACCCCTGAACCCCTAAACCCTAATACCCTAACCCCAAACCCTAAACCCTAACTGGCTTCTCCGGCTCCTTGCCTGTCCCGCCTACTGAGCGCCTGGCGGTGAGATCGGCGACACCATCGAGGGCTGCAGCAAGCGCGGCGCGCCCTTCAGGCTTTAGGGACGCAGGGGCATGGATTAGGGTTTAGGGGTTTAGGGGTTTAGGGTTTAGGGTTTAGGGGTTTAGGGTTTTAGGGTTTAGGGTTTAGGGTTTGAGGTTTGAGGTTGAGGCCCTCCATAAATGAGGAGCCTTTGTTTTTGGGATCTGGCGCCTATGGCCCATGCCTTCCACTCTTTTCGGCTTCAGCGATCGAGTTGAATTATCCCTACCGTCACACAACTACTTCAAGAAACATCTGCTTTGACAAAAACTACAAACTCCAAAAACCTAATCTGGAAGACCTGGTATCCCAAGAACTGAGCAGTCGACCCCTTGTCTCGTCTACATTGGAACTATAGCTCAGGGTCCAAATATTAGGGTTTTGGGCAAATACCTAATGTTTAGGGTTTAGGGTTTAGGGCTTTAGCGTATAGGGTTTAGGTGAATCTGCTGCTCATCTGCTTCCCCAACATAAACTAAACCTTGCAAGTACCATTACCCTAAACTCAAGACCCTTATCCCTTCAGGAAATCCCCAACAAGTTGAAACTGATCCGACGGGCAGTTTAAACCCTAAACCCTGAAAGCGTAGGCAAAGCCTATGCATGGGACAACTCCGACGACGCCACACCCGGACCCCTTGGAGGATAGCCAAAAAAGCTGCCGTAAGACATCCTACTAGTGCATGGCTCACACCCTTAAACCCTAAACCCCAAATCCCTAAAACTCTAAAACCCTAAACCTTCCGACTGACCCCCTGACCCCTGAACCTTAACCCTAAACCTTGGGTACTGCCCCCCATACGGTAACAGTCTATGATAGGGCTACTATTAAGGGCCTTATATATCCATATTGTGAAGATTACTCAACTGTTACTGAGTGGGGGTAGTATTCAACCTAAACCCTAAACTCTAAACCCTAAAACGCTAAAGCCCTATTTCCTAAAACCCTAGAGCCCTAAACCCTAAACCCCTAAAGCCCCAAAGCCCTAAAACCCTAACACCCCTAAACACCCTAAATACCCTAAACCTTCCGTCGATTCTGCTGTTTGGAAGACCTGTAAAACCTTTTGAGATCCCGAGCCCCTGCCTCTGTAACAAAAAGACTGAG